GCTGCAGGAGAGGCGCTGGGATGGCAGGCGGAGGGCAGAGGCTCCGGCCGGGGCTGGCACACAGGAGTGAACCGCAGCTTCCAGGCATGCCAGCGGCGTTCGTCAGGGCTCCCGTGAAAGCGAGCAGGCGGGGGAGGAGCTGCTTGAAAAATTGCTATTCACAGAAATAGAAACTTCCCGCAGAAACACGCGTGCGTCGGTGACAAAAGCCCAGCTGGGAATTTCTGCTGGCAGCAGGAGCAGTGGGAGGTGAAGGGGCTGGGGAGTGCAGGAGGCTGAGGTGCAGGACTGGGGGTGCTGCCAGGGCTCTGACCTCGGCTCTGGGGGAAATTGCTGCTTTTTTAGCTGGAAAAACATCTCTTGGCTCCATCATCCTGCAAACGGTCCCCAGGAGCAGGACCTGGCAGTGTGGCAGCGATGGGCTCCGTGCTCCCCACTCTGAGCCAGGACAGCACAGAGGGTGGGCAGGCCCTGGCACAGGGTGCCCAGAGCAGCTGGGGCTGCCCCTGGATCCCTGGAAGTGTCCAAAGCCAGGTTGGACAGGGCTTGGAGCAACCTGGGACAGTGAAGGTGTCCCTGCCATGGCAGGGGGTGGAACTGGCTGAGCTTTAAGGTTCCCTCCAACCCAGACCATTCTGAGATTCTGGGATTCCACACTTCCCCAGATGATTTTCATGGCAGGTTTAAGCCATCCTGGCATTTTGTCTGCCTATTCTCCCCAGTCCCCTGAACCCCATCGTTAAGCAGCTATTATTAGTCCCATTTCTTGGCATAGCCAGGAGTTGTGTCAGAGCCCACCAGTCTATTTATAGAGTTCTGTGAGCTGTTTTGTTACTTGTGTTAATTGAATTAATCCCTTCTGAAGAAAAGAAAATACTTGAAGAGCTCAAGTTCAGTCCCTGGGACAACATTCCCAAACTGTGGGGATCCAGGCAGCATCTCAGGCCATTGATAATCCTTAGCCCTTAACACCAGGGAAAGGCTGCCCTGCTCAGTGTTCCCAGGAATTCATGGAAGGGGATGACACCAACCCTGCCCTGCAGAGCTCAGACTCGTGAAACCCTACAAGGGGATGGAAGGGAAATAGCTTTTATTATCTAGATAGATTTTACTCTAGATATTAACAGATTTAGATGTGCAATATGTACTTAACAGATGGATTCATCCTTCACTATGCAGGAAACACAGCAAAAAAAGTCTAAAGTCTATCTGACTTTAGAATTACTGGGATTTCCAAGTCCTTTAGAGTGTTTCTGTCTGCTTTGGGACATAATTAGTCCCTACAAAGTTTCTTCCATCTCATGCAGGCTCTTCCCTTAGGGATCCCTGTAAGATAACCACAGTCAGCTGGGCTTTCACAGTGGGAAAATGCTTATTGGCAGCTCATATGTTATCAGGGCAGGATCATTTAATCAAGGAACAAGCGTGGATGGGAAAAAGCAGCACCCAGAAGCTAAAATAATTTTGGAAAGGCAAAATTTGTCATACATTAAAGCCTAGCCACTACCTCCTGCAGCTTTGGCTCTCTGATGCTCTAAGACCAAGTGGTATCAGTGACATGGGTGTCAATCAGATAATGGACATAAATTAATATTAAAATCAGCACATGAACTTCAGATTGTAAAATCCACTGCCGTGTTTGCAGTTTGACTGGGCCATTTTTCGGTTAATTCACAGCTTGCAAATGAAAATGCTGTTTCCTTCCTGCCTGGCACTGGAAATAAGCATCTCTCAGACTGCAGAGTTGGTGCTCACGATTCTGGATTCTGCAGCTCTCTCTGACAGAGATTCAACAGCTCTGTTGAGAGCTGTTTCAAAGCTCTCAACAGGTAGAGCTTTGAAAAATGTCACTTCTCTCCGCTGCTGCCACCTCTCTCTGATGGCCTGTCAATGTGACACCACCAAGGTTGTGGACACCCCATCCCCAGAAATGTGCAAGGCCAGCTTGGATGGAGCTTGGAGCGACCCGGTCTGGTGGAAGGTGTCCCTGCTCATGGCAGAGGGGTTGGAATCAGGTGAATTTTAAGGTCCCTTCCTACCCTTCCTACCATTCTATGATTTATGATTCCAGGAGGTTGTCCTGAGCACAAGGAGACCTTGATGGATGTGATTTCATTCCCTGACTCAGGGGATGCTGCAGGAAGAGCTTCCTGTACTAAGCCCATAACAGAGGCTCAGGAGGGATGGAAGAACCTGGTATCCCAGGAAAAGGCTGTGTTTGGAGCCTGAGGGATGTTTTCCCACTTCTAGCTGGAAAGCCACCTTCAGCATCAGGGTTTTGAGTTAAGTGCATCCTTCTTTGGGGCTTCACTTTCCCTGCAAGAGCCACATCCCTGCGAGGCGCTCTTGGCAGGGGCTCTGCAGGCAGACCCCCGCTCCCGGGGCCCTGCTCCTTCCCAGGTTTCGGTGCCGCTCCCTGGGAAGAGCTGCAGGATCTCCCGCTGTCAGCAGATGCCAGCAAAGAGCCGCTCTGCAGCCACCGGCGCTGCCGCGGGCTGGGGGTACCGGGGACCCCCACCCTGGGCTCTGGGGCACCTTCTGCCCCCACCCCACCGTCCGGCTGCCTGCCGGGGGACAGAGCCTTGCGGGGATCCGGGGGGGCTTTGCCACCAGCTGAGAACCCCCAGGCTCAGCTCACGAGGAACTGCAGAACTGCAGAACTGCGCTCCTCTGGCACCGAGCAGAGGATCGGGACCCTCTGGCTCATCCTTCGTGCCACTCGGGGGGCAGGGGACACGCTGCCCCTCAGCCTGCTGGTTATGAGAGTCACAGAGTACTTTGGGTTGGAAGGGACCTTAAAAACCATCTAATCCAACCCCCCTGCCATAGCAGGGACGCCTCTGCTAAACCAGGTTGCTGGAAGCCCCATCCAACCTGGCCTTAATGTCCCAACTCAGGGGCATGCACATCTTTTCTAGGAAACCCTGTCCTGTGTGTCACTACCGCCACTGTACAAATATTCCCTCTTTATCTGGGCTAAGAGGGCACTGGGGAGGAATCCTCACCTCTTCTCACTGCTCAGTTATCCCGGGCTGGCCCCAGCGCCGGATTTTGGCAGGCGGTGTTCAACAGGATCCTCCCACATGCCTTGGCTTTCTGCTCAGCACCCAGGGCACAAACCCCACCCTCCTCTTACCCACCTCCCCTTCCTCACTCAATTCCTCTCCTAAGGACTTGGGAGGCACCTCCCGCTCCCTCCCAGCTTGGCAGGCGTGTGTGACACCCCCTGCTCCACAACAAGAGCTATTTTTACCCTTAAAATATTCATGTTCTCCCGGCTCAGCCTCGTGCACTCCCCGTGTCCGCAGTTCCTGGCTGGGTCCCCGCTGCAGCTGGGATCAGATTGTGTCCCCAAGCACCCTGCAGCCAGGAAGGGATGCAGGAGGAGCCCATCCACTGCCCCGTAAAAAGCTCTTTTTCCAGCCCGACCTCCAGCTGGAACTTGTTTGATAGGAGGATGTACATATATATATATGATTCCTGCTATTTCCCCTTCCCTCCCTGCTATTTTGTCCTTCCTCATGCTCTTCTCAGGTCTCTCAAGTGAGCTCAGGGCTGCCCAGGGGAGCAGTGCTGCCAGCTTTGCCAGGTCTTTTTGATGGTCAGGGTAGGGTGCTGGACCTGGAAAAGCCTCAGGTCCTTGGATTTGGGTGCCAGGACGGGTCTGTGGTCACCCCCCATCCCCTCCTGGCTGCTGGACCCCGTGTGCCTCGAGGGAGCCCAGCACTGTCCCAAGCCCTGGGGTGCTGCTGCCCACAGGACACATGCTGCCCATTTCAGTGCTGCTTTGAGGGGTGCTCTAAACCAAACCAGAGCAGCAGATGGAACCCACAAGGCTCCAGGAAGGCTTAGCAGGGGCATCCATCCCTCTGTATTCTAGAGTGGATGCTGGATGCTCCAGGTACGATCCTTAGAGGGCTTTTTCAGGGGCTGGAGAAAAGGAATGGGGGGCATCATCCCTGCTGTGAGCTCCCCATCCAGCTCATGGCACCTCCAAAGGAGCCCTCTGGCATGAGGGGGATGGCAGGGATGGCAGCAGTGACCCCCCAGGGGAAGGACACCCGTAACCATCCCCCTGCCCCAGGCTGGCCCCCACTCACCTCTGCTACAGCCCTTTGCTCCTCCCCAAAGGGAGGTTTTAATTTACCCTCTTGGCTGGCGAAACCCTATCCCGAGCAATTCCCCAGCCGTTCCTCTGAATCGCAGCAACTACCTCATTACTTTGATATTAATAGAATTCATATGGCCTGGAGAAGATAATTGAAATTAGCCCCGTGGCGAGGGGGAGCGGAGGGGCTGGGGGGGCTGAGCTGTGTCAGGGGGTGAGCCCTGACCCCTGGCTGGATTCTGGCCTCCAGAGTGGGTCCTGGGGCCAGCAGTGCCCACGGGGATGAAGCATTGCCTGTGGTTTGTCCAGTTACACAAAACTGGGAAGCAGGATGGATGGACACCCATTCCAGTGTCTGTCAGACTGCAAGGATGCCCGGCCAGCCCTGCCCCAGCTCTCAAGCCATTGACCCTCTCGTTATCCCCTGTCTTGTCCCCAGCTCCAGGCCAGGCCATGCAGTAACCCCCAGCAGCATCTCCTGCCATGGGTCTATTGCCATTCTTTCTGGGAGAAAAAAAGGGGGGGAAAAGGTTCATTATGTGCAAAAGCACAAGGGCAGACAGCAAGTGGCTGTCACGGGCAATACCACTGCCCGGCAGGACCATGACAGAGCCATCCCACCTCCCCTCCAGCCCTGGGTTCCTGCAGCTCCCACCCACCTGCTCCCCGTCAGATGGGAGTGACCCCCACAAAGGGGCCATTCTGCCACCCTTGGGCTTTGCCCTGACACGTGTCACCTTAACCTCTTCCTTGGGACCAGCTGCTGCCAGGGGACCCTCCTTTGTGGCCCCGGCGGGCGGCAGACGAATCTCCCCATCTGGCCTCGTCTGTTGGAGACCCCCTGCCCCAGCTCATAACGGCATTAACCTCGCTCCCACCCCCTCAACTGTCACCAACAGCCCCAGGTCCCCAGGCTGGGGACAGACTGCATCCCACAGGGACTTATCACATCCCTCACCCACCCCTGGCACCTCACAGGGACCCGGGCATCCCTCCCTGCCCCTCTGACCCTGCCTGAGGGTATCCCGGGCATCCCTCCCTGCCCCTCCAACCTCTGTCTGCATGGATGGGCAGGACAAGGCAGAACAAGGAATTTGCCTCCAGGGGCTTAAAAAATTCCCACACACCTGTGACTGCAGGTGGGGCGAGTTCAGCCCTAGGGCTCAGGACCAGCACAGGGGCTCCATCCCAACCTCCTGCCACTGCACCACATCTCTCTGCCCCTTGTTTGGTCCAGCACTGCTCCCACGGGCAGTGGGGGATGCTGCAGCACCCTGGGCTGCCTGACAAGCAGGAGAGCATCAGGGACGGGATGTGAGGAGCAGCAGGGTCAGGCCCTGGAGCACCACAGGTGAAGGAACATGAGAGCAACAGGATGAATTTGGTGAAGGAGGCTGGCATTCCCTGGCTGCCAGGTCAGCGAAGTCCCCAGGCCAGGACAAGCAAGGCAAGACTCCCCCAGCGCCTCTCCCTCCCCAGCCAGCCATCCCCGAGGAGGCCTTATCTGCCTCTAATGCTTCGCAGCAGCCTCCCTCCCCAAAGCTTGCGGGCTTGGCAAGATGCTCTGAGACTGCATTTGCTCCAAATGGATTGTATCGAGGGGAGAACAAAGCACTGGAGAGTTTTCAAAGCGGAGCTGTGATCGCAGCCCGCAGCAGAGGTGGCTAGTCCCTGGTGGAACCTCCCAGGGGACCCTCTGGGGTCCAGGCTCAGCCCCAAAACCCAGCAGGCAGTGGCTGCTGCCCCTCAGCTCAATGTCCCAGCCCTGGCTCTGCCATTCCCCACTGGTGTCCGGGCAGGGGCCATTCAACAAGTGCTGGCCAGAAGACAACAGCTCCATTTTCACCAAAAAAATGTTCTGCTGCAAAATCTGGCTTTGCTCCAGCTACAAATGAAAAAATTAGGTGGTTGTTTTTTTTTTCTTTCCTGCTGCAGAGTTTCTTGGAAAGCTGGTGTGGGGCAGGCACTGGAGCAAACGCTGACCTTGGCATCACGCCCTTGCCCACTTGTCTCCCCATCCCTGGTGCAGGAAGCTCCAGGCAGAGCAACTGGCAGAGCGGATTTTTTTCTCTAACACACTCAAGAATGTGGGGAGAAAAAGGGAAATATGAGAATATCCTCTGTTGATCTGAGCACAAATTGCAATCACAGTCAGGAAGGGGTGAAGGTGTGGAGCTTCCCCTGTCCAGCCTGTGCTCCCTTTGGAAAGATGGGTACAGGTGATGCCAGGACTGACCCAGAGCGCTGTGGGCTGCATGAACCAGGGTGCTCTGTGGTGAGGTGTTCCCAAGGAAGCGCTGGCACACAGGGAACCACACCTGCCAGGAAGGGCTGGAGCAGAAAAAGTAACCAAGAAATGAGACCAGAAAGTTGTGTTGGCTTGGCTTTCCCTCGGATCCTCAGGAAAGATGGTGTCAGCAGTGAGTCAGCTCCTGGAGGTATGTGAAATCATAATTGAAGAATGCTGAGAAATCAGCAAAATCCCACAGAAAAAAAAAAAAAATGTGGGGGAAAAATATCCCAAACAGCCTTCAAGCAAAAGAAATTGTGGATCCTGGAGCCTCGGTGCTGGGCAGAGTCATGAAAGAGAAGGGGTTCAGCAACTGAATACATTTCAGGGAGCAAAGGGATAACTGCAGGATTGTATCAGGGATGGGGAAAAAGGAAAACCAACCCTGGGGCAGTGAGTCTCTGCTGTGGGACAGTCACAGGGCCCCACATGGCCCCACAGCAGTGGGCTGGAGGGACACACAGGAGATCCCAGAGGCTCTCCCAATGCATTCCCAACCCGTGGGAAGTGTCACAGGCACGAGGACTCCTCTGGACAAGTGTCACAGAGAATCTGGGGAAACAATAGAGCTGCCCAAGGCCAGGCTCTGTAAATGCCTGGCTCACACACTGTCACCTTGTGAGGGACAGAATCATCTGTGTCACTTTAGCAGGAGGGACAGGGCAGGGACTGAGCCAGGAGGGCCCAACATCCCCACAGCCACGGCAAGAGAGATGCAGAGCAAGTGAGGAGCCTCCTGCAGAAGGCATGGGGTGGTTCACAAAGAGACAGAGGGGAAAGAGGGGAAAAATCAAGCAAAAGGTCACAAGTTCAGAAGCTCAAAGGAAAAGGAGGTCTCTGTGTCCTGTGGGGAGATGCTGAGAGGGGAAGAGAAGCTCGGGGGAGACAGTGCTGAGTGGTGGGATTGGGGAGAGGGGTTCTGCCCATCACTGCTGGGATCAAAACCAACCCCTCCAGCCCTCCTGGAAAGGCCCAGACACCTGACCAAGGAGAGGAGCTGGGATCAAAGGCTGGGATGCACAGTCCTGGTGAAAATGCAGGGAAATGACAGAGCCAAACTCCAAGCAGCAGAGAAACGGCAGCAGAGTGAACTTTGACTGTGTGTCCATGTAAACAGTGAAACCTTCCCCTGCACACTGGAGAGAGCCAGAGGGTAGGGAAAAGCCAGACGGAAACTCAACATAAACCCAGCCCAGGTGGGTACCACAGGCACCAGCAGGGCCTCAGGCTTCTGCCCCATCACAGCACCACCACGAGCCACACCAGGTGAGATCAGGGCACATCTGGGGATGGGAATTGATCCGTGGAGACACAACCTTCCCAGCCCTCTGGGACAGCACCTCATGCTTGGCAGTATCCCCATGGGAATGCAAGCTGGGCACCAAACCATGGCTGAAGAGGCCCAGGTGGGAACAGGAACTCTGTTCTGGGAGCCAAACAAGTGTGAAACAGCAACAAAAAAATGTTATTTTGTTATCAGGGATCAATCAAACAATCCACCCCGTTCAGTGTACCCTTCAGGGCGTGTGCACTCATCAGACAAAAACGATGGCAGTAAGGAATAGCTGTGTCAAAGGGGCTCCCAGCCCACACCAAGGGCAGGCACAGGCAGTCGCAGCATCAGCTGCACTTCCCGTGGGTGAAGGCACTGCAGGGGTGGTACTGCACAGCTGGCATGGAAGGGATGCTGCTCCACAGGCCTGACACATTCCCAGAGCTTCCCTCCGCAGCTGGGCACTGCCCACAGCTCTGGGGAGAAGAAAAGCCCTTGGGCTAAGCTTTGGATCCTCACTGGGCCCCCAAGAGCTAAAAGCACTGAGGAAATGCCTGTAGGGACTGTGGGACAGGGAGTCAGGGGACGTTCTCCTCTGGTGGCTGGAGCCCTGGTGTCACCATCTGTGCGGCTGCAGATTTCCTCCCCAAACTGTCCTGGCCCCACAGAGCTCTTTGCCCTTGACAGGGAGGATGAACAAAGAGGTTTTACATAATCCCACATGATCTGCATAATGCACGGCCCCAAAACCTGCTGCTCTCACCCGCCACGGCACAAGGAGCTGCTGGAGGTTCCTCTCTCCACTCAGCCTGATTCCTCTTCCCTGGTGATGTATCGCTGCCAGGAGTGAAATCCTGTGTTGAGCAGCTCTGCCAGGCCCCCAGGTGTGGGTACCCACAGCCCAGCATGTTTGGGGTGCTGCTGGAGGCACCCACATCCCGACAGGAAGCTTTTGCTCCAGCTGTGAGCACCACACAGTCAGCTGGGGAGAGAAAAAACATGAAAGAGTGTGGAGATATTTTCACAGGGACACTTTGAGGGTGCCCATGGTTTGTCCTGAAAGGTCTCCACCTCCAGTCCTCCCATCACCTCTATCCCACCCCCAGGGAAGGGAAATCCTGCTGGAGCTCAGGTGCTGAGCTTTAGCTGGAGCTGAGCATTTCAGAGACACAAAATCCTGCTGCCTTGAGCGAGGAAAGAAACCATCTCCAGGTGACTGCTGATTGTGCTTAAAAATACAAAAGTAAAGCAAAAATTAAGGCCTAGCAGTCCCTGCAGCCAGTGGCTGTGGTGCAGTGCCTGGATGTGTTTGCAGGGCTGGGAATGGCATATCCACCCAGCCCTTTCCCTCAGCACCATCCACAGTAACGCTGTGACACATACACCATGCAGTGGTGCCACACGGAAGTGGCCAAGCACAAAATCACCCAAAAATCACCCAAAAATCACTCCAAAGGAAGAGCCCATCCAGCTGGGAATCACCCTGGGATTCTCCCAGTCTCCTGCTCACCACAGGATGGGCACGAGCAGAGCCGGCAGCGTCTCAGCATCTCCAACCGACTCCAATGACACCACCCGTAGGCTCCAAAATGTTGGGGAAAAAATAAATATAGCTCAAAGGAGACTCAGAGATCGAAGGGAAATGGCCATTAGCAACCCTCCATCTGCAGTAAAGAGCCAGCCATGTCCGGCACTCCAGATCTAATGGGTTTTTAATATTCTCGTGGCACGCACCGGGGTATAGATGGGAAGAGACACTTGGAGGTCTTGCTTGAGCACCAGTACTCGGGGGGCTGCTCACAGAGTTCAGGCTCTTCCTTTCCCTGCCAGCTGCCTGAGAGATGTAGATGTTTCAATTATTCTGTCAAGCTGCATATTCCAAATTGAGGCCAGGGAAGTGTCTCTGTCTTATATAGAAAGAAAGGAAAAAATATATCCCTAAAAGGAAAAGAAATGAACTCAGAAATTAATAAGGCTGATTGACAATGCTGCTTTGGAAACTCTGGTACCATATGGCATCCTTGAATGGCTGCAGTGCTGTTAGGATGGAGCTGACCAGCTGGAGAGTTACTGTGGGTTGTTTGTAATTGTAATAATGGATATCAGATGGCTGGTGTGGAGCAGTTTATAAATGAGAACAGACAATGAGCCGCACTGTTTGTCAGGAAATCATTGCTGATATGGGCTTTGTGCTCCCCACCACTCCTGGGTGGAGCTGGCTGCTCCCAGGGCACCCTGTGCTGCCCCGGGGTCCGGCTCCGGCCGGGAAAGGCACCATCCTGGGCCAGGTACTGCATTGCTGAGGAGGGTGGTCCAGCCAGGAGAACTTCCAAAAAAAAACTCCTGGTGCTATGGGCAGAGCCCCAGATGCCACTGGGAGATGGCAGGAAGGCTGATGTCCTTCTGCAAGAGATGTGGGGTGCAGCCAAGGAGCCTCCCTGAGGAAGCCAAAGTGAACAGGGACCTGTCTGGGATCCACTGGAGACTCTGGAGCTGCTGGGGGCTCGGATACTGACACTTCCAGATTGGTTTTTGTGCTGAACAGCCAGAAAAATCGTGACATTTCAGAACTTGCCAGTTAATGGAATTTTTTTATTATTTTTTTTTTTAAGTCAGTAACAGTGAAATTCATTATTTCAATTTCTGCTGATCTCCAACTCCACAGTTTAGCACATAAAGCGAAGCCTGACTTTGGAACGAATATGTCACACACTTGTTCACTCCTCTTTTTCAGAATGAACTTTCATCCAAATTAACACAGGACATTGCCCAGCTGGAATGTCCCCTTGCTCCAGCTGAAGCCACCCTGTGCCACATGGCCCTGCAGCCAGAGGACTCCAGGCAGGACAAGGCTGGGAGAGAAGGCTGCCTGCAAGGCTCAGCTATTACAACTGTTGTTAATTCTTTAGTGGTCCTGGATTATTTTTTACCCCAAAAGCTATTGAAAAAGAAGTGATAACCAAACTGTGTTGTGGATATTCCCTGATCACTTGAAGCCCTTTGGCAGTGCCAGGTGATGTTGCAGGGCAGGACAGGCACAGCCACATGTCCTTTCACACTCAAACCCAAACACAGCTGGGCACTCCAGCAGGTCTTATTTTGTGCTCACCAGCCCCTGGGAAGGGATGGAAGGAGCCCTGGCACTGCTGGGCCTCCTCTCTGCTCACCTTCAGGCTGATGGCATCTCTGGTGAGGGGGCCAGGGCGCAGCAGCAGGCACAGCTTTCTAGGAAAGGCATCTCCGTGGGAAGGAGGCCAGGCCTGGAGCTGTGGGCACGGCACGTGCCAAGCGCCGGGCAGAGCATCCACGAGCTGCCATGCCCCTCTGCAGGACACCTCCACAGCCTGGAGATGCTCCCACTGCTCCTTCTGGCTGCACAGAGAGACTGCAGTGCTGCAGGTGGGCTGGGAACCCCCCCAGCCAGGACAGCAGCTGCCCCGTGCCCTCCTGTGTCCGGGGCACAGGGAAGGGAGGGCACAGGTGCTGGAAGTGCAAGAGAACAGCCTGGGAGGGATCATATCCAACTCATCACCTTCAGCAAAGCACTTCCCTCATCACCATTTTCAGCCCTTGCTACCTGTAACAGAATTGCTGCTCTCTGGTTTGGTTTGGATGAGAAATGAAATCTCTCATGCATATATTCTACATAAATTATATAGTCATATTTAAATGTTTTCTAGTCTCATATATAAAGATTTATTTTATACTATTCTTTGGGAGTATAAAAGTATTCCTTGGAAACCCCAGGGTGTACAAATCCTCACACAAAACCCTTGGTGAAGCTGGACATGGGCAAGGCAAAGTGACTAAAGTCCATGGACAAAATCAGCAGGCAGGAAACCTTCCTCTAATCCATTACCCCTAACCAAGCTCTGTGATTAATTCCCTAAAGAAATATGGAGTCCTGCTCCCTGCCAGTTCTAAAAACATCCCTGTTTATATGGGGCATGGCTCTTCCTCAAAACTCCAGTATGTCTTTTTTCCAGTTCAGAGAGGATGATTTGAATCTGCCTATTTGCAGCCTTGATTTTTAGGCTTTCATGTAAAATGCAGTTTACCTATTCATTTTAATAGCAGAGATTACAGGTCTGTCTTACATATATCAGCCACTACTTAGAGAAAATTGGCACCCATTACCATGCACCAAACATCATAATTAAGTTTTAATTTCTTTGTAAAGGGTTACTGAGGTGTGGTGCAGACACAAGGGTGTTTTGGACACCCCCTCTGGAGCTGGATGTGGGAAGCAGGATGGTATTCCCCAGACCCACCCACGGTGTCCTGTCCCCACATCCCCACAGACCTGCCAGAGACCCGATCACATCCTCTCTGTTTTAGTCTGAAGTTTGTCACTCAGCAGAAAAACTCCTTCTCTTTCTCCAGCTCAACTTTGGCTGACCTTATCAGCAAACTGAGCAGCTTATAGGAAGGGAAGTCAGGGACCAGCCCAGCAGCCCATCCTGCCGGGGTGCCGGGGTCACAGCGCGTTGGTGGCACCAGCAGCCCCGCTCCCCAGCACTGAGCACAGCTCCCCGTCTGCGGGGCAGATGAATTTCTTACCACTCACCATCACCTTTTAAATCACCGTGACTGCAAGCCCTGACAAGCACTGTCAGCAGTTTCAACACAAACAGGATTCGATTTCAAAAGGAAGAGGTATTCAACACGAACCCATGCACAAACACCCTCGTTTTTCTGTTCTTGCTGCACAGCCACTCTGGAAACGCTGAATGGCCCAGGCTGGGCTCAGCCCTTCCGTGGCATCTGAGCATCCTATACTTGATGTGGTTGCGTGAGCTCAGCCTGCCTGGCTGTCACTTTTGGGGTGCCATCCGTTTGATCAGTCCCATCACCCCTGTGCCCGTGGCAGGGCCCCATCACAGCCAGGCTGGCGTTGTTGGTTTTGGTTTTATGGGGGTGACAGATCCTCACCACATCCTCCCTCCCTCCCACACACAGTGTCCGTGGGTTTGCTTTGTCCTGCCTGGCAGGTAAGGAACCCAAAAGCGCTGTCACTTTGTCATCCCACGGTGGCTGGCACCGTGTCCCCTCACACAGGGTGCAGTGTTTGTGGGATCTGTGTGCTCCTGGAAGGGTGGATTCGGGATTCCCAACTCTGCTCTGAGCCCTGGTGCATCCCTGGCCCATCAGCATCTCATGTCTCCCTTCTCCCCTTCCACGGGAGGCTGAAAAATCACCAAGAATCTGCTGGAGGGAGTTGAAAATTGAAAGTAGGAGCCAGCTGAGCACCAGGACAGGCACATGGTGGCTGTGAGCATGGACCCTGCACAGCCACCCCAAAATACTCTGGGAAAAATGCACCCAGAGCCAGAGACAGGATGATGAGGGCATCAGCACCACAGCCAAGAGGGAGGAGTCATCCCGAGCTGGGAGGATGAGGATGGAAGCACAGTGCCAGGGATAAAGGTGCGTTAGGAGCAGAGGGCTGAAATAAAATCCAACAGGGAGTGATGGTAGAAGTTGCGATCTTCAAAATGCACCAAAAATTCCTTCTGCTTCAGACATCTGCAAAAAATATTTAATGAAACCCAAAATCCTACCCCAGTTTCTACTCATTCACTGTTTACTGCCAAACACCTCCACGGTGGCAGCTGACTTTTGCTTTGTGTCTGTGGCCGCTCACATCCCATTGATGGAAAATGATGAAAAATGTTTTAAAATAACATAGCAAACCCCCAAAAGTGCTGGGTGCTCACATGAGGATGGGGATGGCCACTTTGTCTTCCTGAAGGAGCAGCAGAAGCTGGGGTGTGTGAGCACCATTCCCAAGCCTGGCTGTGCTCTGACAGGGGCTGTGGTTGTGATTTGCAAAACGATGGCTCCTTAGGGAAATGATGGGATTTACCCCACAGGTGCAGGTCTGGCTGGAAGGGGAGCACAGCAGTCAGGCTGGTGGCGATGCTGCCACCCAAGGAGCCACCATGGGACAGCCCTTCTGCCTCCCCAGGGCCACTCTGGACAAGGGACCGCTCTGAGCATCCCCAAATCCTTCATCCCCAGCCCATCTGCCGCTCGAGTCCCGCTCCCCGGCTGCGACGTCAGGGTGGCTCCCACTCCTCTTTAGAGGTCGCAGCCCCTGAGCAAAGATTAATCTGGCACTTGTGCGAATTTATCTGCTTGAAAAGAGAGGGACTGGCTCTGACCTCGCAGTCTGGAGACTGGTGGGGAGTTTACTGTCCCCTGAGCTGTCAAGCCAATTCCCTGCAGTACCAAGCTGTTGTTCTTGGCATCTGCTAGGCAGAAAGGCTGTGAAACACCCCAAATATCTGTTTGTTTTAAAAGGTAAATATTAATTTCAGGATGCTGTTTACATAAGCAGACTCTTGGAGCTTGAACTCACTGCCTTTTGCTGGTGTCACATGGCATTAGTGTGTATTTAACATTTATTTAACTCTCCTTGGCCCTGCTCGTGCCAGATGGCAGGCAGCCTGCACGGACAGACAGGGCTCAGCTCGGGGCTGCTCCGAGCGTGACAAGGGGCTGGGTTGAGGCTGCAAAGTTAAAACTTTGAGCAGTTTTGTGGCTGCAGGTTCCTGACCAAAACACACTTTGGGTTTGTGTCCCCAAGGCTGGGTGGTGTCCCTGCCCCCAGACACGCAAGGCAAGCAGGGAATCATCCTCTGATGAGTCCAAGCCAGGGCAAGGGCTGGGCTTTCCTCAGCTCTTGCCAGGCTCTGGAGTCTGATCACCTTGGCCTGATCCTGCTGGCACTGAGCTCTCTCACTGCTCCCTATGGAGCAGATCTGTGGATCCCAGCAGCCATCCCAGTTTGCATGCACTGGGTGGGACACCCAGAGCTGAAACCCTGAGCTGCACAAGCTGGGGGTGCCTGGCCAGCCGGTGACATGGACGAGCTGATGACATTGCAGAGGAGCTGGTGACATGGCACAGGAGCTGGTGACATGGCACAGGAGCTGCTTGCTGGCTCCTGGGGTCCTGAGCAGCGAGTTTGCTCCTCTCAGTGGGCTGCTGGAAGATCTCATTATGTGATGTACAGCCCTGATGTGCAGCTCCCACTGCTGAGTGCTCACATGTCTCTTTTCTGCCTCTCCAGTCACTCACTCTCCCAGCACAGGGCATTTTTTTGGGTAATGCAGCACTGAGAGTGTCACTGCTTTCTCAAACAATGAAGAAATGCAGACAGATGGCCTCTAGAAAACAAATAAGATATTCAAAACAGTATCAGCCTCTTTATGGCTGCAGGCACCCATCAGCTTGAATATCCAAACGAGGAAGATCTGAGATGGTTTCAGGGACAGGATTACAGCTTCTAAGTTTGGCTGGACACCTTCCTGCTCAAACATTAGTGTTTGAAGAAAGGGACCTGCATGGTAAATAATGTCCCAAGATGTTGTCACAGAATTATTGCCTGTTTGGGCTTGACAGCCGCCGAGTGCTCTGCCTCCCACCTGCTGAACAGGTCTCATCACACCCATCCCCTGTTCCAGAAGTTTTTGCTGGATGAGATCCCATCCCCTCCCCCTGGACACAGTGCTCTGCAGGCAATGCTGACCACTCACACTGTGCCAGGAGAAACACTGACCAGACACCAGGACTGACCTTGGGAAACCTCACTGACCTCCAGACCTCCCTTCTGGCACCATCTGCCTCACTCTCCTTTCACTCAGTTCTCACCCTTGTTCATGATGCCTGTACTAAACTTTCTGTTTTCCTTGTTTGGAAAACCACATCTCAGTGAAGGAAGCAGGCAGGGTACTCTGGCCTGCCCTGTGAGAGAAATCCTTTATCTCATTTCCCACTCATTTCTATGACAGTAATATCTTTTTTCCAACATTTTTAGAGCTACAAATACCTGTGAGATGAGAGATTTCCAAACAACATTCCCTCTTGCTTTTGTGTTTGCTGTTCTTTGGGCAAAGCCA